CACTGCCTTCCGTTAAGAAGTTTCGGGAAACTAGATGGGGGGAGGCAAATTGATACGGCTGTTTACTGAACCGTCAGTGGGCATCTGGGCCTCTTGAAACTGTTTTGAGGTGTGATTATCACCTCGGTCTACAATCTCCACGGCATCAAAGTTGAAGATGTGCCCCTTCTGCGCGGAATGGGTTGTTACCTCCGACTTTGGGTCCAACCTTCGCATGCCCGATTCATGCGCATGCATTCGTGTTTTCATTCATCGATCGGCTTCTCAGACGTAATTACATATCCTACAGCTGCACTGAAGTTGGTAGAAAATGACGGACTTCTCTAGCTTAGAAAAAGCGTCGTTTGGACGCATCCTTGAGGGCAGATTGTCGGGTCAGGCCTCTAAGAGACTCCTACGCCGTTTCGTTTTTGTTGTAAAGAGTGGTTGCTGTTATTGTGTCCCTAGATGCGTTAAACCGACCTGGGGGCTAGATCGGATTCAGGCAGGCGTTATCGGAAATGTGCACCCATAACAGATGCCAAAATTCGGGGTGTGGTAGCAAGCCCAGTTGCGGTCTCACTAACCGCCAACCGGGATCCGAGCAAGCGCCCCCCTCCCCCCCCCAATATTCTTTATTGTTTAAAATTGTAGTCAGGTGTTTGTTGTGTACCAGGAAGTGGTATGATACGCCTAGGTGCGTGTCCGGCCATTCTAGCCATCTGCGGCCTTTTACGCCTCCGGTTTTCATGACTTCATCTTGAAACCGGACCGAGGTGGGGGGAGGGTAATGGAATGGAGAAAGTGCGGTAGATGGAACGCCAGTCTATAAATTAATGAACGTGCATACCTGTCCCGATTGTGGTCGCACCTTCACCGTCATTTGTGAATTCATTGTACAGAAATTGACAAACCAGTGCCTGGAGCATCCACCTACATTCGCCGCATCCGCCTCCACTGTCAACACTGACTCGTCCATTGACTACACGCATGGGCGTTCTAGGTCACATGAGTATCCACGACAGCGGAAGTCACCGCAGTCTCGAAAAACCTAACACATCCTGCAAATCCACGAGGCCTAGCCAAACCCACACCTCATCGCCCAGCGTGCCCACTGCCAGCAGGTCCACTACCACCACCACCACCACCACCACCACCACTACCACCACCATCACCATCACCACCACCACCACCGAAACCGACATTGACGTCACCGACTTATCCTGCCGCCACTGTCCACGTTCATTCACCTCACGCATTGTCCTGGTCGGTCACTTGAAAATCCATCTCACAGAGACTGGCGAACCAGTTCCTGGAGCACCAACCTACACCCGGCTCATCCGCCACCACTGTCCACACTGTCCTCACACCTTCGTGCATCGCATGGGCCTATTCGGTTACATGCGCATTCACAAAAGCCTGCAATAGATAACCATCAGCTAACCCACACCATCACATCCTCTCCCACCAGCACCCGCATCACATATCAACATCATCAATCGCAAACGCCCTATTTCTATTTCCCACACAAGTAAAGAGTGTGCGCCTCGGTTCCGTCTCCTCTATTGTATGTGTGGTCTGCGTCCGAGACTATCACGATGCGCCAAACACCTTGGCTTGGAAGGTTGCCGACTGACGTCCCAATTCAGTCCACGCAATCTGCCAGTCATGTGCGTGTATCTGTGTGGAGTGGCGGACCGTAAGGTTGAGAGCCAGGCTGTTACGGCTTCTTCCCAACATTACCGACGGCACTCTCATGTGCTTGGGGGGGGGGGGGCAGGTCGTGCATGTGACGTGCGCAGACAAGGCCGCTCGAAATGTCGGCCACTGCGTCCATTCCCGCAATTGTAAACCGACCGGCTTGGACAGTGGCTGGGTCCCGGGAATGGGAAGGGGGAGTGTGGTCGACGACTCAGCGCATTTTCCTCATAATAAACAACCTGACGCGCTTGAAACTATTACGGTGAGCTAAAAGCCATGGCTTGGAAGGTTGTCAACTGACGGAATAACTTGGACCTCACAGTCGGTCAAGTGATGTGTGTGTATATCGGCCGGTTGTCGAAGAGTCAGGCTCCAATGGCTCCTTCTTAACGTGGCATTTATGGCACTTCCACTCCGTTGGATAGCCGGGTGTGGCGGCACGCCTAGAGGCAACTCCGGCCACGCAGGCCGCCTGCGCCCTCTCCCATCTCCGATCTTCTTGATACCGTGGCCAGGGGGGATGGGGAGAGAGTGCGGTGAATGCTACACCGAGCACATCACCGTGCCTGCTTCACCTAGCTCTGAAGCACACGTTGGATATCGTCGGTAACCATGGCCGAACTATCGTGTGTGCGTGTGCGTATGTGAGATGCCTAAAGATCTGAAAGCGTCTGCTAAGCCAGAATCAGCAAACCATAGCACTCGCAGCCTGGCATGCGCTGGCATTTCTCCGAAACCTGGTTCCCTTCCGGTAGACGCGCTTGCGCTCCCGCTGGGGTATACATGTGGTGTGCATGGCCACCCAGTCCTCATCGTCAGTTCTGAGTCGTTGTGGTGCTGTCTTTGGTCAAAAACCTGGTCAGTTGCTGCGTGGACCAGGGGGTGCGGTGAGGAGCGCTAAGGTGCGGACTTGACCATGCCATCCACCTGCGCTATCCACCGCCTTCGGACCTCTTGACTGTCTTGACACGGGGTGCAGCCGGGAGAGGAGAAGAGAGTGCGGTAGATGCTATGCAAGTGTACAGTCACTATAAACTAACTTACGCACAAGTCACCGTCCCTGCTCCGCTTTACTGTGGAGCACAGGGTTGACGTCGTCGGATACGACGGTCTAATTGTCGGTCTTTTATGTGAGAGAAAGATAGCTCGAGAGAATAATACGCTTTATTTTAAAAGTTCCAGTCTAAATTTTTCACCAAGAGCATCCTCCAATCATGACGGCTAATAATACAGAAATGGTCATTCAAGTCTCCCTAGTCTTTGTCAGTAATATTTCTCTGTCTATATTACGCGCCGCTGTGCGGCTGCTGTTTGGGCTCGAGAAAGAGCCCTAGGGCTCAAGTGAACGAGTGAGTTCTGTAAAAACGGTCATTGAGCGCTCTCCTACCATTGTACATCCCCGATCGTAAACGACAGGACAACGAGCCCGCAGCTTAGTAATTAGAGGCGTTGGATTTTTAACTAACAGGTCACGAGTTAGAGCCCCAGGTGTTCCACACTTCGGGTTGGGCATGACTGGCTGACGACGGCTAATAAGCCAGAAATGGCCATTCCCGTCTCCCTTGTCTTTGTCAGTAATAACATTCTGCCTATACCATGCGCCGCCGTGCGGCTGCTGATTGGGCTCGAGAGGGAGCCCGTAAGGCACAACGGAACGAATGAATTCCATAAGAATGATCGGTGAGCGCCCCTCTATTATTCTGTATGTACCCGATTGTAACCCCTCTGCCAGAATACAAATTAAGAAATGAAGGGAGATTTACTGTACATACATAATAACTGTATTATGGGGACAGTTAAAATCCATATGCCTGTATTTCGGTCTCTGCATACTTCATTTGTCGAGTCTAAGACGGCAAAACTTAACGCTGGTGTGCCGATGTACGGCAACAGACATGCCGGGGGCCATGACGAATGGGGTGGAAAGACTTAGCGGCAATCATTTCAGAGTGGAAGAGATGGATAACATAATTTAGAATTCGATCAACAGATGGCTTGGCCGTTGCGAAATGCCGTTGCGTTAAAATATCCTCTAAAAGGACATAGTAACCATCGGGGGCAGAAGAGAGCAAGGCAGAGTGGATAACCGGATAATAACAAGGAGTAAACGTGTGTGTGTATGTGTGTGAGAGAGAGTGCCCTCCAAACGGGCCACGTGTTAGATGCGCTGGACCAACACGGGGGCCACATCGGACTCTGGCAGGCGTTATCTTTGCGTAATAACAAATGCCAACATTTGCGGGGTGCGCTGGCGGACCCTGTTGTCGGCATTCTTCGCACAACTGGACCACTGCCTCCACCCCATTGTTTTGTGGTCAAAATCCTTGTCTTGGTGTGTGGGCCAGGGGTGCGGAGTGGAGCGCCAAGGCGAAGACCCGTCCGAGCCATCCACCTGCGGCCTCCCCCGTCTCCGGTCTTCTTGACTCTGTCTTGACACCGGGCCCAGGCGGGGGAGGAGGAGAGAGTGTAGGTAGATGCTACGCAAGTCTACTGGCACTATAAACCCCTGCGTAAGTCACCGTCCCTGCTCCCACAGTGCAGTCTGTGGGGCACACGGTGGTCATCGTCGAAATCGACGGACGAACTGTCGTGTGAGAGAGAGAGAATTCAGGTGCCTACAAATCTTGCAATATGGGGTTAACAACAAACATCATAAACAATATTACAAATTTTAGTGGAAGTAGTTTCAATCTGAAGGAGAAAGGCGAAATTTGAGGATAGAGTGGCACCAAGCTACCGGAAGGATACTGCTTCATCGGGGAAAATGTCAAAGGATTCAGGAATGGGCGATGGTCGCAGTCGGAAACCACTCGACCGATTTCTGATCCCCAAGTGGAAGACCGTTTTCCAATGACCACAAAAAGGCATGACCCGAGCCACCTTTGGTCATTGGATGTCGGGTCTTACACTCTACAATTAACTCACGGGTTCAATGCTTTGTCGAATTTAATTTCGGAGGGGTGTTCATCGATCGGGTTACGGGAGGGAACGTACAGTATGTGGGCTAACTCATGAAATGTCAACCGAAATTCCGAAATACGTTTTCGTTTTGAAAAAATTAATTAAGAAGGGTTGTAAAACTAATCATCATGCAGCATAATTCTATAATAAGTCAGTTACCACAGTATGCTGCCTTTCGAACGAACTTCCTTCCGGCTGCATACGAAAACTATACTCTGTAAAAAAGACTACTTATTAGCATGCATTTTTCTCATTTATTTTTGATGTTCCGAAAAGTCCAATTATATTTCATGAACAACATGCATAAAAATATTCATTCTTTTGCTCATTCGATAGAAAATTACGTCTTCTTCCAATTTTATACTTGAACGCAGGGTATAATTCGGTTTTCAAAAACTTTTCCAATTCCAGAATAATTTTGAACCCGATTTGCCGTTACACTTGCATGCAGGGTTTGCAAACTACAGGCCGCTTATTTTCTCTGCACTGAAAACCATACATTTCTCTACGGAATTAAGAGGAGACCATATGGGGTTCATAAAATGTGGCAGTGGATTTGAGCCATATTGCTAACTTTACAAGCCAAATCCGTAAATGCAGACACATGACGTTTTATGAAACGCCATTTCAGAGTATTAAAAAATCTCCGAATTAGAAACTTTTTTAAAACCGAAACATGCCCTTCCTTCGAGTATAAAGTTTAAAGGAGATGTAATTTGCTACCGAATAAGCAGAGGAATGGATATTTTTATGCCTGTTTTATGTGAACTAAAATTGGATTTTTAAGGCATCGAAAATCAATGAAAAAACGCATCCTTCTTAAGTAGTCTTTGTTTACGGAGTATAGTTTTTGCATGCAGACGGAGAGAGGTTAATTCGATAGCCAGCATCCTGTGGTAATAAAAGTACTATAGAATGACGCTGCACTTTGATCTGCTTTACAACCCTGCTTAATTAATCCTTTCAAAACGAACACGCATTTCGGAATTTCGGTTGATATTTCATGACTAAGCCCGCCTACTGCACCTGTCCCTTTATGCCTAGTTTCTCGACGTTCGGGATAGTCGCGTAACGACAGCTTACGCTGCTGTCTGACTGACTGGCGATGACCGGTAAGACAAAAGTGCTCATTTCAGTCGCCATTTTTTTCGCCAGCATTCCTGATGCATCTCCGTCCCCAGCCATATGGCTGCCAGCGGGGTTCTGAAGCGGGCCACAGGGTCAAAGTGCCTCTTGTGATCGACGAACGGTCCTCCCATTCTAGCATAGAAGAGTCATCCATGTATCCAGACCAAGGTACAGTGCGTGGCCGATCTCATGAAATGTTAACCAAAATTATGGAAGGATTACTTAAGTGGGTTTGCCTTGTTTAATTTCCGAGGAAATTAATGCGCGAACTTGGAGTAAATCTTTCAAAACGGGCCTTTTCAGGCACGCTCCAAAGTGGGTTTTTTATACTGATTGTCATGCAACATAACCCTTTAACGTTTCGGACTCGCCAGGATGTCGGCCTTTGAATGCACTTCTTTTTGACCTCCTGTAGAAACCACACTCGATAAAAAATGACCGCTTATGTAGCATGCATTATTCCTATTGATTTTTAACGGTCTTATAGATCCAGATATAATTTATAGAAAGCATGCACAAAATATGCTTCCTTTTGCTCATTTTGGTAGGAAATCACGTTATCTTCATATTTTATGTCCGAAGAAAGTGTACATTAAGGTTTTAAAATAGTTTCTGATTATGAGATTTCTAAGATCATG